CTGGATGTCCTTTGGGGATCTCATCCAAGTCTAGAAGTCTTTGATTCTATAGCCCTATTTATCCCTGAACCTGTTAATTGAATATTACGAAAGACATAATCAAGAAGAATTAGCTCTACTTAGTTTAGACGCCGAAAAAGCATTTGACAACCTGAACTGGGACTACCTAAAATTGCTAATGAAAGAATTGGACCTCGGATATCAATTCACTAATGCCATAAATGCAATATACGATTTTCAAGAGGTCAAAATGCTAATAAATCTACAAGAATCCAGAAGCATAAAAATAGGCAAGGGTACAAGACAGGGATGTCCATTACCACCCCTCTTATTCATAATGGCAATAGAAACTCTATTAAACAATATAAGAAATGACCCGGAATTAAGAGGCATCAGAATTAATAAGGAAAATTACAAAGTAAGAGCGTACGCAGACGATATAATCTGCATTATCAATAACCCAACAGAAAATATATCAAAGTGGCTGGATAAATTTGAGCAGCATGGGAGAGTAGCCGGACTAAAAATTAACAAGAAAAAAACAATGGTATTGACAAAAAACCTGTCAAAAAAGAAAAAAGAAGAACTTGCAAATTTAACGGAATTTCAGGTTGTAGAGAAAATAAAGTATTTAGATTATATAGCCCTATTTATCCCTGAACCTGTTAATATCTATGAGGTTGGATGGCCATCTGTTGGGAGGGTTTGGATGGTGCCTTTCTTTATAGCAAAAGGGTGTTGGACTGGATATCCTTTGGGGATCTCTTTCAAGTCTAGAAGTCTTTGATTCTATAAGCCTATTTGTCCCCGAACCTGTTAATGTCTATGAGGCTGGATGGCCATCTGTTGGGAGGGCTTGGGTGGTGCCTTTCTTTATAGCAGAAGGGTGTTGAGCTGGATGCCCTTTGGGAATCTCTTCAAAGTCTAGGATTCTGTGACTCCATTATTATTATTATTATTATTATTATTATTATTATTATTATAAGGGGATGGATCAGATCAAGTTTATGGGGTTTGTAAAAAGGAAAGAATGGGAGAAAGCCGAAGTGACATCCAAGCTTATTCCCAACTACAGCGGTCATCCCAACGGAACTGCCCACAACTACAGTGTCCAAAACAGAGCAGGCCCCCGGGACCAAGGAGACCGCCCCACCAGAGGACCACACTCAGACGGAAAGCCCAGACGAGGACACCTCGTCAACGGCGCCAACCAAGGCGTCCAGCCCTGAGGAGACCACCAAAGCCTTGACGGCCGCCCCGCCAACAGTGCGGGTCTCCGTAACTTTCCGCATCACTAACATGACGTTCAGTGAGGAATTGTCGAATCCAAAGAGCAAGGACTACACGGACCTAAAGGAGAAGATTGACAAAATGGTAAGTGCTAACCCCGTCAGAAAGAGCCGGCATTTGTTAAGGGACACACAAATGAATGCACGCCCTGCCCCGCCCACCCTCACAATGTAACTTTTTGCTTCAGGCAAATCTATTTAATTTTTTAACAATTTAATTCTATTTTCATCCTTGTGTATATTTGTATGGGTTTGTATTGCATTGCATTGGTTTTATGGCGATGAGCTTATTCGAGTCTCTTTTTCGGGATACAAATAATAATAATTGCAGGCTTTTAAACAGAGGCTGGGTGGTCATCTGTTGGGGGTGCTTTGAGTGTCTCTCCCCACCCCATGATTCTCCAATAATAATAATAATAATAATAATAATAGATAATGACGACGATGGCATCCTTCCCTGGAGGTTCCTAAGCAGAGGCTGGATGGCCATCTTTTGGGAGGGATTATATGGTGACAAGTCTCTTTTTCAGGATACAAATCATAATTGGAGGCTTTTAAACAGAAGCTGGATGGTCATCTGTTGGGGGTGCTTTGAGTGTCTTTCCTCACTCCATGATTCTTCAACAACAACAACAACAACAATAATAATAATAATAATGACGACGACGACAGCATCCTTCCCTGGAGGTTCCTAAGCAGAGGCTGGATGGCCATCTTTTGGGAGGGATGGTGTTTTCCTGCCTGGCAGAATGGAGGTGGATTGGATGCCCATTAGGGATCTCTTTCAAGTCTAGAAGTCTTTGATCCTATAGCCCTATTTGTCCCTGAACCAGTTAATGTCTATGAAGCTAGATGGCCATCTGTCAGGAGGGCTTGGATGGTAATAACTGGAAGCCTTTAAACAGTGGCTGGATGGTCATCTGTTGGTTGTGCTTTTCCTGTATTGTAGAAGTGGGGTTCTTCCAACTCCGTGTTGATAATGATGATGGTGGTGATGATGGCATCTCCTACCCTGGGGGTTCCTAAGCAAAGGCTGGATGGCCATCTGTTGGGAAGGATTATATGGTGCCTTCCTGCTTGGCAGAATGAAGGTGGACTGGATGTCCTTTGGGGATCTCATCCAAGTCTAGAAGTCTTTGATTCTATAGCCCTATTTATCCCTGAACCTGTTAATTGAATATTACGAAAGACATAATCAAGAAGAATTAGCTCTACTTAGTTTAGACGCCGAAAAAGCATTTGACAACCTGAACTGGGACTACCTAAAATTGCTAATGAAAGAATTGGACCTCGGATATCAATTCACTAATGCCATAAATGCAATATACGATTTTCAAGAGGTCAAAATGCTAATAAATCTACAAGAATCCAGAAGCATAAAAATAGGCAAGGGTACAAGACAGGGATGTCCATTACCACCCCTCTTATTCATAATGGCAATAGAAACTCTATTAAACAATATAAGAAATGACCCGGAATTAAGAGGCATCAGAATTAATAAGGAAAATTACAAAGTAAGAGCGTACGCAGACGATATAATCTGCATTATCAATAACCCAACAGAAAATATATCAAAGTGGCTGGATAAATTTGAGCAGCATGGGAGAGTAGCCGGACTAAAAATTAACAAGAAAAAAACAATGGTATTGACAAAAAACCTGTCAAAAAAGAAAAAAGAAGAACTTGCAAATTTAACGGAATTTCAGGTTGTAGAGAAAATAAAGTATTTAGATTATATAGCCCTATTTATCCCTGAACCTGTTAATATCTATGAGGTTGGATGGCCATCTGTTGGGAGGGTTTGGATGGTGCCTTTCTTTATAGCAAAAGGGTGTTGGACTGGATATCCTTTGGGGATCTCTTTCAAGTCTAGAAGTCTTTGATTCTATAAGCCTATTTGTCCCCGAACCTGTTAATGTCTATGAGGCTGGATGGCCATCTGTTGGGAGGGCTTGGGTGGTGCCTTTCTTTATAGCAGAAGGGTGTTGAGCTGGATGCCCTTTGGGAATCTCTTCAAAGTCTAGGATTCTGTGACTCCATTATTATTATTATTATTATTATTATTATTATTATTATTATTATTGAGGGGCTGACTGGCCATCTGTTGGGAGAGCTTTGATTGTGCTTTTCCTGCCTGGCAGAAGGGGTTGGACTGGATAGCCTTTTGGGGACCCTTGTATAATACTAACAACAACAATAATAATTTACCAGCTAACCTCTTGCCTTATTCGATACTATTCCGTATCTACTAAGACTTCTATTCCTAACATGATATCATCTGCAAAGAGGTTTACACTTATCTCTTTTTTGCCTATTGTATACCCCACTATTCATGTACTATCTACTCACTCTATCTACTCAAACTTCTATTCCTAAGACAAATCATCCACCTTGATATCGTCTCCTTTCCCTACCTGGCAGAAGAGGTTGGGATGGATAGTTCTTGGGGGACGCTTCCAACTCAATAATATTTTTTGATAATAATAATAATAATAATAATAATAATAATAATAATAATACTCGCAAACCCAACTTGCCTTTCCTTTCTTTCCGCAGTACAAAGCAGTCTACAACTCTTCCTCCTTCGCAGATAGCAAAGAATACCTTGGATTCTCTATAACTTCCTTCAGGTATGGAAGCGGGGCAGAATAATTGCAAGGGGTCCCATGGTACGGGGGCCCTAAAACCCCGAGTAAGGCTGGTTGCTCACTTCGAAAGGAGGAGCATATGCAATAGATGCAACGTATTGTGCCTAATGGATCCCGCAATGGGTTAAACCGCTGAGCTGCTGAACTTGCTGATCGAAAGGTTGGCGGTTCGAATCCGGGGAGCGGGGGTGAGCTCCCACTGTTAGCCCCAGCTTCTCCCAACCTAGTAGTTCGAAAACACGCAAATGTGAGTAGATCAATAGGTACAGCTCCGGCGGGAAGGTAGCGGCACATCATGTAGACATGCCAGTGGCCACATGGCCTTGGAGGTGTCTATGAATCCGGGGAGCGGGGTGAGCTCCCGCTGTTAGCCCCAGCTTCTGTCAACCTAGTAGTAGTTCAAAAATATGCAAATAGTAGATCAATAGGTACTGCTCCGGTGGGAAGGTAATGGTGCACCATGCAGTCATGCCAGTGGCCACATGGCCTTGGAGGTGTCTACGAATCCAGGGAGCGGGGTGAGCTCCCGCTGTTAGCCCCAGCTTCTCCCAACCTAGTAGTTCAAAAATATGCAAATGTGAGTAGATCAATAGGTACCGCTCCGGCGGGAAGGTAACGGCACTCCATGCAGTCCATAGAGACCTTGGAGGTGTCTACGGACAATGCCGGTTCTTCAGCTTAGAAATCGAAATGAGCAACAACCCCCCGAGTCGGACACGGCTGGACTTAATGTCAGGGGGAAACCTTCTAATATTGCAAATGCAATGCCTCCTAAGAGTTTATTTGGGGAGTTTGGGGTCCAAATGTGGGATGTCCTGAGCCACATCTCTCCTCTTTCTGTCTCGTAGTTCTGGCTCCGTGAAGGTGGACTCGGAAGTGCGTTTCCGGAAGACCGATAGCACCTCCAGCGCTGAATTTGCAAATCGAGTGGAAACGAGCCTGAAGACTGCGCCTAAGGATAGTTACCAGGGCATGGAATTGGCAGACATCCAAGGTGAAGGGCAATGGATAAGGTCAAGGGGATGGATCAGATCAAGTTTATGGGGTTTGAAAAAAGGAAAGAATGGGAGAAAGCCGAAGTGACATCCAAGCTTATTCCCAACTACAGCGGTCATCCCAACGGAACTGCCCACAACTACAGTGTCCAAAACAGAGCAGGCCCCCGGGACCAAGGAGACCGCCCCACCAGAGGACCACACTCAGACGGAAAGCCCAGACGAGGACACCTCGTCAACGGCGCCAACCAAGGCGTCCAGCCCTGAGGAGACCACCAAAGCCTTGACGGCCGCCCCGGCAACAGTGCGGGTCTCCGTAACTTTCCGCATCACTAACATGACGTTCAGTGAGGAATTGTCGAATCCAAAGAGCAAGGACTACACGGACCTAAAGGAGAAGATTGACAAAATGGTAAGTGCTAACCCCGTCAGAAAGAGCCGGCATTTGTTAAGGGACACACAAATGAATGCACGCCCTGCCCCGCCCACCCTCACAATGTAACTTTTTGCTTCAGGCAAATCTAGAAGATTGACAAAATGGTAAGTGCTAACCCCGTCAGAAAGAGCCGGCATTTGTTAAGGGACACACAAATGAATGCACGCCCTGCCCCGCCCACCCTCACAATGTAACTTTTTGCTTCAGGCAAATCTATTTAATTTTTTAACAATTTAATTCTATTTTCATCCTTGTGTATATTTGTATGGGTTTGTATTGCATTGCATTGGTTTTATGGCGATGAGCTTATTCGAGTCTCTTTTTCGGGATACAAATAATAATAATTGCAGGCTTTTAAACAGAGGCTGGGTGGTCATCTGTTGGGGGTGCTTTGAGTGTCTCTCCCCACTCCATGATTCTCCAATCTCCAATAATAATAATAATAATAATAATAATAGATAATGACGACGATGGCATCCTTCCCTGGAGGTTCCTAAGCAGAGGCTGGATGGCCATCTTTTGGGAGGGATTATATGGTGACAAGTCTCTTTTTCAGGATACAAATCATAATTGGAGGCTTTTAAACAGAAGCTGGATGGTCATCTGTTGGGGGTGCTTTGACTGTCTCTCCCCACTCCATGATTCTTCAATAATAATAATAATAATAATAATAATAATAATAATAATAATAATAACAACAGATAATGATGACGATGGCATCTCCTCCCCTGGAGGTTCCTAAGCAGAGGCTGGATGGCCATCTTTTGGGAGGGATTATATGGTGTTTTCCTGCCTGGCAGAATGGAGGTGGATTGGATGCCCATTAGGGATCTCTTTCAAGTCTTTGATTCTATAGCCCTATTTGTCCCTGAACCAGTTAATGTCTATGAAGCTAGATGGCCATCTGTCGGGAGGGCTTGGACGGTAATAATCGGAGACCTTTAAACAGTGGCTGGATGGTCATCTGTTGGTTGTGCTTTTCCTGTATTGTAGAAGTGGGGTTCTTCCAACTCCGTGTTGATAATGATGATGGTGGTGATGATGGCATCTCCTACCCTGGGGGTTCCTAAGCAAAGGCTGGATGGCCATCTGTTGGGAGGGATTACATGGTGCTTTTCTGCCTGGCAGAATGGGGGTGGATTGGATGCCCTTTGGGGATCTCTTTCAAGTCTTTGATTCTATAGCCCTATTTGTCCCTGAACCTGTTAATGTCTATGAGGCTGGATGGCCATCTGTCGGGAGGGCTTCGATGGTGCCTTTCTTTATAGCAGAAGAGTGTTGGGCTGGATGTCCTTTGGGGATCACTTTCACGTCTAGAAGTCTTTGATTCTGTAGCGCTATTTGTCCCTGAACCTGTTAATGAGGCTGGATGGCCATCTGTCGGGAGGGCTTCGATGGTGCCTTTCTTTATAGCAGAAGGGCATTAAGTTGGATGTCCTTTGGGGATCTCATCCAGGTCTAGAAGTCTTTGATTCTATAACCCTATTTGTCCCTGAACCCGTTAATGTCTATGAGGCTGGATGGCCATCTGTTGGGAGGGCTTGGGTGGTGCCTTTCTTTATAGCAGAAGGGTGTTGAGCTGGATGCCCTTTGGGAATCTCTTCAAAGTCTAGGATTCTGTGACTCCATTATTATTATTATTATTATTATTATTATTATTATTATTATTATGGAGGGGCTGACTGGCCATCTGTTGGGAGAGCTTTGATTGTGCTTTTCCTGCCTGGAAAAAGGGGTTGGACTGGATAGCCTTTTGGGGACCCTTGTATAATACTAACAACAACAACAATAATTTACCAGCAAACCTCTTGCCTTATTCTATACTATTCTGTATCTACTAAGACTTCTATTCCTAACATGATATCATCTGCAAAGAGGTTTACGTTTATCTCTTTTTTGCCTATTGTATACCCCACTATTCATGTACTATCTACTCACTCTATCTACTCAAACTTCTATTCCTAAGACAAATCATCCACCTTGATATCGTCTCCTTTCCCTACTTGGCAGAAGAGGTTGGGAGGGATAGTTCTTGGGGGACGCTTCCAACTCAATAATATTTTTTGATAATAATAATAATAATAATAATAATAATAATAATAGTAATAATAATCGCAAACCCAACTTGCCTTTCCTTTCTTTCCGCAGTACAAAGCAGTCTATGCCTCTTCCGCCTTCGCAGATAGCAAAGACTACCTTGGATTCACTATAATTTCCTTCAGGTATGAAAGCGAGGCAGAATAATTGCAAGGGGTCCCATGGTACGGGGGCCCTAAAACCCCGAGTAAGGCTGGTTGCTCACTTCGAAAGGAGGAGCATATGCAATAGATGCAACGTATTGTGCCTAATGGATCCCACAGTGGGTTAAACCGCTGAGCTGCTGAACTTGCTGATCGAAAGGTTGGCGGTTCGAATCTGGGGAGCGGGGGTGAGCTCCCACTGTTAGCCCCAGCTTCTCCCAACCTAGCAGTTCGAAAACACGCAAATGTGAGTAGATCAATAGGTACTGCTCCGGCGGGAAGGTAACAGTGCTCCGTGCAGTCCGTAGAGATCTTGAAGATGTTTACGGACAATGCTGGCTCTTCGGCTTAGAAATGAGCAACAACCCCCCGAGTCTGACACGACTGGACTTAATGTCAGGGGGAAACCTTCTAATATTGCAAATGCAATGCCTCCTAAGATAATAGTTTATTCGGGGAGTTTGGGGTCCAAATGTGGGATGTCCGGAGCCACATCTCTCCTCTTTCCGTCTCGTAGTTCTGGCTCCGTGAAGGTGGACTCGGAAGTGCGTTTCCAGAAGACTGATAGCACCTCCAGCGCTGAATTTGCAAACCGAGTGGAAACGAGCCTGAAGACTGCGCCTAAGGATAGTTACCAGGGCATGGAATTGGCAGACATCCAAGGTGAAGGGCGATGGATAAGACCAAGGAGAGGCCAATGTTGTTTACGGGGTTTAAAAAAGGAAAGAGGGGGTGAAGAATTCCAGTAAAACACACCTGGGACACTTTGTTTTGGTGGCCCTCACTATGTCGAATCAGTTCAGACTCGATATTTGTTGAAAAACTATCACAAAATGCACTCAGCGTTCATATCATAGTATTTCTATCACCTGGAATAAGCAGTAAGAGCATCTAAAGCTTCCAAGAGCTTCCGTTCAACCATTTCAAAGCTCTCTGCTTGGGTGGTGATGGCATGATCGTCAGCATAGATGGGACTCTCTCTCCCTTCTGGCAGTGGCTGGTCAGTTGTGTAAATGTTAAACATTGATGTGTGTGTGTATATATATATATATATATATGTAGGCAGTAAGAGCACCTCAAGCTTCTGAGACCTTCCATTCAACCATTACAAAGCTCTCTGCTTGTGTGGTGATGGCACGATCGTCAGCGTAGATGAGACTCTCTGTCCCTTCTGGTAGTGGCTGATCAGTTGTGTAAATGTTAAACATTAGGAATCAGCTGGTTTTCCCTGTAACAGGCAGTAAGAGCACCTAAAGCTTCAGAGAGCTTCCGTTCAACCCTTTCAAAGCTCCCTGCTTGGGTGGTGATGGCACGATCATCAGCGTAGATGAGACTCTCTGTCCCTTCTGGCAGTGGCTGGTCATTTGTGTAAATGTTAAACATTGATGGATATATATATAGGCAGTAAGAGTACCTCAAGCTTCAGAGAGCTTCCGTTCAACCCTTTCAAAGCTCCCTGCTTGGGTGGTGATGGCATGATCGTCAGCGTAGATGAAACTCTCTGTCCCTTCTGGCAGTGTTTGGTCATTTCTGTAAATGTTAAACATTGATGGATATATATATATATATATATATATATAGGCAGTAAGAGCACCTCAAGCTTCAGAGAACTTTTGTTCTACCATTTCAAAGCTCCCTGCTTGGGTGGTGATGGCACAATCTTCAGCATAGATGAAACTCGCTATCCCTTCTGGCAGTGGCCGATCAGTTGTGTAAATGTTAAACATTGATGGATATATATATATATATATATATATATATCGGCAGTAAGAGCACCTCAAGCTTCTGAGACCTTCCGTTCAACCCCTTCAAAGCTCTCTGCTTGGGTGGTGATGGCACGATCATCAGCATAGATGAGACTCTCTGTCCCTTCTGGCAGTGGCTGGTCATTTGTGTAAATGTTAAACATTGATGCATATATATATAGGCAGTAAGAGTACCTCAAGCTTCGGAGAGCTTCCATTCAACCATTTCAAAGCTCCCTGCTTGGGTGGTGATGGCACGAACGTCAGCATAGATGAAATTCACTATCCCTTCTGGCTGTGGCTGATCAGTTGTGTAAATGTTAAACATTGATGGAGCAAAATACAATGCACGATAATGATGATGATGGCATCCCCTTCCCTGGAGGTTTCTAAACAAAGCCTGTTGGGAAGGATCAGATAGTGCCGGGACATAAAGAGCTTGGACTGGATGTTTTCGGGGGGTCTCATCCAACTCTAGAGGTCTATAGCTGTATTCCACCACAAACCTGCTCATGATGAGGCTGGATGGCCGTCGGGAGGGTTTTGATTGTGCATTTCCTGGCCGGCTAAACAGGGCTGGGCTGGATGTGTGTCTGCAGATGTGTTTGAATTATGACGAGAGAAAGAATGCCCTCCATTGATGCAAATGCTACATTTCTCCTTCAGCCAAAGCCCTTACTCCAACAAGTGCCCCGGATACCACCAAATCAGACGGCTCGGGATCGGGATCGGGATCGGGATCGGGATCGGGATCGGGATCGGGATCGGGATCGGACTCGGGCGGCGTCCCCGGCTGGGGCATCGCCCTCCTGGTCCTGGTCTCCATCATCCTCTTCCTGCTCCTGCTGTACTGCTTGTACCTGGTGAGTAGCAGCCTTCAACCCCTAACAGCTTTTCCCACGTGTCCCTCCTGGGTCGCCGATTCTTGTTAGGCCCCAGACTCCACACACCGAGGCTCCCTTTGCTGGGGATGGAGCAAAGCAGTGCCAGAGAGCTCAATGAAGCCATAAGGAAATTCCACCTGAACACTAGGAAGAACTTCCTGACTATAAGAAGAGCTGTTCAACAGTGGAACTCGCTGCCTTGGAGTTCGATGGAAGCTCCATCTTTGGTGGACTCTATTATTATTATTATTATTATTATTAATAATAATAATAATAAAATAATAATAAAAATAATAATAATACAGGGGGTGGATAGCCATCTGTTGGTGGTGCTTTGATTGTGCTTTTCCTGGATGGCTAGATTCATTTATTATCATCTTTCAAGATTTTAAACAGTTCAGCTGGGATCCTGTCGTCTCATGCTGCCTTGTTGTTAGCAATGCTTCTTAAGGGCAAATTAAACCTCACTCCTCAGGATGTCTGGTTCTAATTCACTCACCACACCGTCACAACTATCCTCGATATTATTATCCTTCCTATACAGATCTTATTATTATTAATAATAATAATAATAATACAGGGGCTGGATGGCCATCTGTTGGTGGTGCTTTGATTGTGCATTTCCTGGATGGCTAGATTCGTTTGTGTATTTATTTATTGCGCTTGTATACCACTTTTCTTGCCTCTGGGAGGACTCAAAGCGGTTCCCAACATCATCAATGGCAAAATTCAATGCCTTTCATGTATCAAAACAATGAGAATGGGTGACCTTTGAGGGTCCCTTCCACCTATGTTTCTATTCGTATATGTGCTGCTCACTCACCTCACCACCTTTTAGTGACAGGCATCTCCACTGATCCTTCCTCTGCCCTTGACCCCAGATCGTCCGCTGGTGCCGACGGCAACACCGGGGCAGCTTGGACCTCATCAGCACCCGGGACTCTTACCACCCCATGAATGAGTACCCCACGTACGAGACCCACGGGAGGTACGCGGCACCCGGCAGCAAGGAGAACCCGTACAATGCGGTGAGCAGCAACCTGTCTTCTTTGGGACACAGGTCAAGCCATCTTAAATGGCACAGGGAATGGCGCCACTGTCATTCCTCTGACCACAAGGTCCGGCCCCACACCTGCCCATCTTTTGCCCCCAGGTTAATAAGGTGAGGAAGGACAGCTGTTGTGGCAGGGGCACCTTGGGCAGACATACCCTCACATGGGAAGGGAGCAGTGGATAGATGGATGGATAGAAGGATGGATGGATGGATGGATGGATGGATGGATGGATGGATGGATGGATGGATGGATGGATGGATAGAAGGACAGATAGAAGGACGGACGGATGGAAGGATAGATGGATGGATGGATAGAAGGATGGTTGGATAGAAGGGTGACAGGATAGAAGGATGGATGGATGGATGGATGGATGGATGGATGGATGGATAGAAGGATAGATAGAAGGATGGATAGAAGGAAGGAAGGAAGGAAGGAAGGAAGGAAGGAAGGAAGAATAGAAGGATGGATGGATGAATAGAAGGATGGATGAATGGATGGATGGATGGATGGATTGATGGATGGATGGATGGATAGAAGGGTTGATGAATGGATGGATAGAAGGATTGATTGATGGACAGATGGATGGATCAATGGATGGATAGAAGGATGGATGGGTTGACGAATAGAAGGATGGATAGATGGATGGATGGATGGATGGATGGATGGATGGATGGATGGATAGATGGATGGATGGATGAATAGAAGGGTCGATGGATGGATGGATGGATGGATGGATGGATGGATGGATGGATGGATGGATGGATCAATGGATGGATAGAAGGATGGATGGATAGAAGGAAGGAAGGATGGATGGATGGATGAATAGAAGGATGGATGGATGGATGACTAGAAGGATGGATGGATGGATGGATGGATGACTAGAAGGATGGATGGATGGATGGATAGAAGGAAGGAAGCATGGAAGGATGGATGGATAGAAGGATGGATAGATGGATGGATTACTAGAAGGACGGATGGATAGATGGAGAGCAGGGTGTCTGGCTGACTCTGCCACTCTACACGATCCCTCCAGCTCTGCTCTGCCTTGCACCGCTGCCTGGCTCTCGACTGAACAAACACCAGATGATTGAGCAAATATTTGGCTTTGGGTCCGTTGGGTTGGGAAGCTGGCGAGAGGACGGAGGGAGAGAGGGAGGGAGCCAGGCTTGGCCCCATTGGGTGCCTTCTTGCCCTTGAGAGAGAGAGAGAGAGAGACCAGCAACCTTACTCTCCCTTTTACCAAACTTACTATTTGATCAAGTCCTATTGTGTTTTCATTGATTTTAGGATAGGGATTAATGTCTATTTCTGTATTTTTTTAATCTTCTATTGTGGGTATAGTCATTCACTGGACTAATCAATAAACAGGTCTCTATCTAGTCACCGGCATTTGCATGGCTTCCCACGTCCAACCTTTGCAGCATGTAAACAGGGATATCGGTGTTGGTGGCGGTTGGCTTTTTTTGCATTTCTTTTCTTCGACACCTGACCAAAGTCGCTCCCGATAGCGTGCCGAAAGTGGCTTCTTGCGGAACGGCACGCCCCGCGCAGGAATCGCTCTGTACACTTTCCCGCTGCCCTTTCCCCCACATCTCGAAACCATCCTGTGACTTATATTGCGCTATATTACACCATAATCGAGTCATCATCAATCCTATTACACAAGGAAACAATTGTTGAAAAACTATCACAAAATGTGCTCAGCTTTTGTATGATATTGTTTCTATCACCTGGAATAGGCAGTAAGAGCACCTCAAGCTTCAGAGAGCTTCTGTTCAACCCTTTCTAATCTCCCTGCTTGGGTGGTGATGGCATGATCGTCAGCATAGATGAGAATCTCTGTCCCTTCTGGCAGTGGCTGGTCATTTGTGTAAATGTTAAACATTGATATATATATATATATATATATATATATATATATATATATAGGCAGAAAGAGCACCTCAAGCTTCAGAGAGCTTCTGTTCAACCTTTTTAAAGCTCCCTGCTTGGGTGGTGATGGCACGATCATCAGCGTAGATGAGACTCTCTCTCCCTTCTGGCAGCGGCTGGCCATTTGTGTAAATGTATATATATATATATACATATATATATATATATATATAGAGAGAGAGAGAGAGAGAGAGAGAGAGAGAAAGAGTGCTTCTGTTCAACCCTTTCAAAGCTCCCTGCTTGGGTGGTGATGGCACGATCATCAGCGTAGATGAGACTCTCTCTCCCTTCTGGCAGCGGCTGGCCATTTGTGTAAATGTTATATATATATATATACATATATATATATATATATATAGAGAGAGAGAGAGAGAGAGAGCGAGAGAGAGAGAGAAAGAGTGCTTCTGTTCAACCCTTTCAAAGCTCCCTGCTTGGGTGGTGATGGCACGATCATCAGCGTAGATGAGACTCTCTCTCCCTTCTGGCAGCGGCTGGCCATTTGTGTAAATGTTATATATATATATATATATATATATAGAGAGAGAGAGAGAGAGAGAGAGAGAGAGAGAGTGTGCTTCTGTTCAACCATTTCAAAGCTCCCTGCTTGGGTGGTGATGGCATGATCATCAGCGTAGATGAGACTCTTTGTCCCTTCTGGCAGTGGTTGGTTATTTGTGTAATATATATATATATATATATATATATATATATATATATCTCAGAGGGCGGGGCAGAAAGAGCACCATTTAATAAAGCTCCCTGCTTGGGTGGTGATGGCACAATCATCAGCATAGATGAGACTCTCTGTCCCTTCTGGCAGTGGTTGGTTTGTGTAAATGTTAAATATTGATGGATATATATATATATATATATATATATATATATATATATGAATGAATGGGAGAGGGTGGGCAGTAAGAGCACCATTTAAAAGCTCCCTGCTTGGGTGATGATGGCATGATCGTCAGCATAGATGAGACTCTCTGTCCCTTCTGGCAGGGGCTGGTCACTTGTGTAAATGTTAAACATTGATGGATATATAAATATATATATATATATATATATATATATATATATATATATATAGGCAGTAAGAGCACCTCAAGCTTTAGAGCGCTTCTGTTCAACATTTTCAAAACTCCCTGCTTGGGTGGTGATGGCATGATCGTCAGCGTAGATGAGACTCTCTATCCCTTCTGGCAATGGCTGGTCATTTGTGTAAATGTTAAGCATTGATGAATATATATGAATGAGAGAGAGAGAGAGGCAGTAAGAGCACAATTTCAAAGCTCCCTGCTTCGGTGGTGATGGCACAATCGTCAGTGTAGATTAGACTCTCTGTTCCTTCTGGCAGTGGTTGGTCATTTGTGTAAATGTTAAATATTGATGGATATATATATATATATATTTGAAAGAGAGAGAGTGGCCCTCACTATTGAGAGTGGACCACACCATTTCAAAGTTCCTTGCTTGGGTGGTGATGGCACAATCGTCAGCGTAGATGAAACTTTCTATCCCTTCTGGCAGCGGCTGATCCATTGTGTAAATGATAAACATTGATGGCACAAAGTGTGCTGAACGATGTCCTTCCCATAAATACAAAGTTTGGGCAGTTTAATCAATTTTTCCCAAGGTTTGTATGATAGCAGCCATTAGGAAAAATGACATTTAGAACCCAGGAACACACACAAAACCAACCCTGTTCCGTGGTGTTATTAAGCGGGTTGCTCGAAGTTAGTAGCAGTTACTTAAAGTCAATAATTGTTGATATACTCATTTCTGTATCTCACCTTTCTCCTGATAATGGGCTATTAATGTATTTGAGTTACGGGCGGGCACAACACTCCGACCGTTACAACACTCACAGCCTTCGCTCGAGTCCCGGGGTTCTCGAATTGTGTTCTCTGGGATTTCCACTACTACTACTACTACTACTACTACTACTACTACTATTGCCAAGGCTGGGCGGCTATCTGTTGGAGGTGCTTTGATTGTGTTTTCCCTGCATGGCAGAAGGGGGTTGGACTGGATGGCCTCTGGGGTATTCCATTGAAATGCTGTTAAGTTTGCGTTGGTTAAAATTGTTCTCCAAAAGTTTGTCCATGTCTTCCTTCCTTCCTTCCTTCCTTCCTTCCTTCCTTCCTTCCTTCCTTCCTTCTTTTCTTCCTTCCTTCCTTCCTTCCTTCCTTCCTTCCTTCTTTTCTTCCTTCCTTCCTTCCTTCCTTCCTTCCTTCCTTCTTTTCTTCCTTCCTTCCTTCCTTCCTTCCTCTTTTCTTACCTTCTTTCTATCTTCCAGCTTCCCCTCTTTCTTTCTTTCTTCTTTCTTCTTTTCTTTCTTCTTTCCTCTTTTTCCTTTTCCTCTTCTCTCCTTCCTTTCTTTTCTTCCTTCCTTCTCTTTCCCTCTTCCTTCCTTTTTCTTTTTCCATCTTTTCCTCCTCCTCCTTACTTTTTTTCTTCCTCTTTTCTCACCTTCTTTCCCATCTTCTCTTTTTTACCTTCTCATGCCTTTTCCTCCCTCCCTCCTTTCCTTCCTTCTTTTCTCACCTTCTTTGTATCCCTCATTTCCTTTCTTCCTTCTCATCCTCTTTTTCCTTTTCCTCTCTCAACCCTTCCTCTTTTTCTTCCTTCCCTCTTTCCCTCTTCTTTCTTTTTCTTTTTTCCAATCTTTTCCTCCCTCCCTCCTTTACTTTTATTTCCTCTTTTCTCACCTTCTTTCGATCTTCCATCTTCTCTTTTTTACCTCCTCATGCTTTTTTCCTTTTCCTCCCTCCCTCCTTTCCTTCCTTCTTTTCTTACCTTCTTTGTATCCTCCATCTCCTTTCTTCCTTCTCATCCCTTTTTTCTTTTCCTCTTATCCCTTTCTTTCTTTCCTCTTTCCTTCCCTCTTTTTTCTTTATTCACAACTTTTCCTTCCTTCCTTCCTTCCTTCCTTCCTTCCTTCCTTCCTTCCTCTCTTTTCTTCTTCTTTTCTTACCTTCATTTTGTCTTCCATCTTCTCCTTTTTCATCCTTTTTTTTCTTTTACCTCTCTTTCCTTCTTTCTTTTTTCCTTTCTTCTTTTCCTTCCTTCCCTCTTCCCTTTCTTTCTTCCCATCTCTTCCTCTCTCCCACACTCTTTTCTTTCCATTCCACCCCTTTCATTTTCTTCCTTCCTCTTTTCTTACCTTCTTTGTATCCTCCACCCATCTATTTTCCTTCTCATCCTTTTTTTCTTTTCCTCTTTCATCCCTTTCTTCTTTTCCTTCCTTCCCTCTGCCTTCATTTTCTTTCTTCCCGTATTTTCTTTCCTCCCTCCCACCCTCCTTTCCTTTTCTTCCTCTTTTCTTACCTTCTTTTAATCTTCCATCTTTTCTCATCCCTTTTTTCTTTTCCTCTCTTCTCTACCTCTTTCCTTCCTTCCCCCTTTTTCTTTATCCTCTACTTTCTTGCCTTCCTTCTCTACTTCTTTCCTTCCTTTGCTTTTTGCTTCCTTCTCCTTTTTCATCCTTTTTTCTTTTACCTCTCTCTTCTTTTCCTTCCTTCCCTCTTCCTTCCTTTTCTTTCTTCCCATCTCTTCCTCCCTCCCACTCTCTTTTCTTTCTATTCCATCCCTTTCCTTTCATTTTCTTCCTCTTTTCTTACCTTCTTTGTATCCTCCACCCATCTATTTTCCTTCTCATCCCTTCCTTCATTTTCTTCCTCTTTTCTTACCTCCTACTTCCATCTTCTCCTTTCTTCCTTCTCATCCTTTTTTTCGTTTCCTCTCCCATTCCTTCTTTCCTCTTTTCTTCCTTTCTTCTTTTCCTTCCTTCCCTTTCTTTCTTCCCATCTTTTCTTTCCTTCCTCCCATGCTCCTTCCTTTCCTTCCCTCTCTCCTTACCTTCTTTGTATCCTCCATCTCCTTTCTTCCTTCTCATCCCTTTTTTCTTTCCTTTCTTTCTTTCCCTCTTTCTTCATTTTCTTTCTTCACATCTTTTCCTTCCTTCCTTCCTCTCTTTTCTTCTTCTTTTCTTACCTTCTTTGTATCCTCCATCTATCTCCTTTCTTCCTTCTCATACTCCTCTTTTTTCTTTTCCTTCCTTCCAATTTACTGCTTCTTCCTTTCATTACCTTCTTTGTATCCTCCATCTATCTCCTTTCTTCCTTCTCGTCTTCCTTTTTTCCCTTTCCTTCCATCTTCCTTCCAATTTGCTCTTGTCTTCCTTTCTTTCCCATCTTGGTTTACCTGATTCTCTGATACTGACTGCCTTCTTTTCGTTCCCTCCACAGACACTCCCCAGAAACGGCACCAGCGGCTTCTCTTACACCAATCCTGTGATGGCCAACAACAACCTGTAGGGGGCAGCCCTTGGGGGCGGCTGGTCAAGGGGTCATCCCAAGGGTCAGTGGGGTCAAGACAGCCGGGACTTGACCAGCGACCCTTGCGTCAACCCCCTTGTCCCAGTGGGTCAAAAAGGGATTCTCACGGAAAGGAAGATGTGATAGACTTCTTTGCAAAGCCGGCCACATCCTCGAAAGCGACACAATGAACTGGCGGAACTCCCCGCCACTGGAATCTCACCTGGACCCCAACAAACCCAGACAGCAATAGGTGCAAAGAGCCTGAGACTTTCCAGTTCCCATAATGTAATGCACCCTAGCCATTAGATTTCTCCAATAGTGATATTACCTCGTTGCTACTATACGTTGACGATCTCAAGATACACGCCTTTCACGGCCTTCTGCATGGAAATAATAATAATAATAATAATAATAATAATAATAATAATAATAATAATTTTATTTATATCTATTACAAATGGGGAGGAATGTGTCAAATCAGGGATTTCTAGGGCCACCCCTCTCTTTTTCGAGGGCTCTGGGTTTTAGTCCGAACTTTGAAGGGCCTCTCCAAGACCTAATCTCTCAAATGGAGAGCTCTGTTTACGACTAAGATTGAAAGCTGATTCCCCAGATAGAAATATCCAAGAAGTCCCAAGAATGCATGTTTCCATGTCAAATCTATTTCAAATCAGACGGATGGCCATCTGTCAGGAGGGCTTTGATTGTGCCTTCCTTAATGGCAGAATGAGGTTGAATTGGAGGGCCCTTGGGGTCCCTTCCAAATCTTAAATTATAAAACACAGTGTGTCTATCTAGCATATCTGTGACTGGATGGCCATCTGTCAAGAGGGCTTTGATTGTGCTTTCCTTAATGGCAGAATAGGGTTGAATAATACTTGAACAGGATGGTCCTTGGGGTCCCTTCCAACACTAGGAGTCTATCTATCAATCAATCAATCAATCAATATCTCATTATCTCCTTTTCTGGAGAGTTGTAAACAGAGACTGGATGGCCATCTGTCGGGAGGGCTTTGATTGTGTCTTCCTTAATGGCAGAATAGGGTTGGACTGGATGGTCCTTGGGGTCCCAACACTAGGATTCTATATCTAGTGTGTGTATCTATCTATCTATCTATCTATCTATCTATCTATCTATCTATCTAATCTATCACCTTCTCTGAAGAACTGTAAGTAGAGATTGGATGGCCATCTGTCAGGAGGGCTTTGATTGTGTATTCCTTAATGGCAGAATAGGGTTGGACTGGATGGTCCTTGGGGTCCCAACACTAGGATTCTATCTATCTATCTATCTATCTATCTATCTATCTATCTATCTATCTATCTAATCTATCACCTTCTCTGAAGAACTGTAAGTAGAGATTGGATGGCCATCTGTCAGGAGGGCTTTGATTGTGTATTCCTTAATGGCAGAATAGGGTTGAACTGGATGGCCCTTGGGGTCCCAACACTAGGATTCTCTCTCTCTCTCTCTCTCTCTCTCTCATCTATCACCTTCTCTGTAGAACTGTAAGCAGAGGCTGGATGACCATCTGTCGGGAGGGCTTTGATTGTGTCTTTCATAGCGACAGAATGGGGTTGAACTGGATGGTCTTTGGGGTCCCTTCCAATGCAAGGATGCTACCTATCTAATCAATCTCCTTCTCTGGAGAGCTGCAAACAGAGGCTGTATGGCCATCTGTCGGGAGGGCTTTGATTGTGTCTTTCATTGGGATGGATGGCCTTTGGGGGTCCCTTCCACCACTACAGCAGTTCCTGAGGAGCCCGACTCGGATGCATGAAGGAACAGATTGGAAAACATTAAAGGGATTCCGCAAATGTGAAATCCGCACCCCAGAATTGTCCGTGTCCGCACTTGCTGTCAATTCCAGATTTGCGATGCGTATGGACGAGGCTCGGGCGGCAATCAGGGCGCGGGCGCAAAAGAAGGAAGGGGGAAGAAAACTTTTCACAATAAAGGCATCCGCGGCGACGACGTCTTAAGGTGTGTCAGGCTTTGCTTTTGGGGCGAGGAGGAGGAGGAAGCGAGAGTCCGCGCATGGGAACGGATTCGGCCGTGGCGTCACGCTGACCGAGGCCACCAAACATGCCTGTCACATGTCAAACATGTACCTATGACGCAGCTGTGACACATCCAGCTTTTCCGTCTTATCCGTGAAATAATAAAAGCAAAAATCGTATGAATGTGATGTGTTTGCATGGATCTAGGTGAACTACAACTCCCATCATCACCCAGGGTGACTCAGTATGATGGGAGTTGTAGTCCGCCCATATAACGAAAGCCATGAAATAAGCTGGTGCAAAAAGGAGGACCTAATGTGCCATGACCTATGCCCAATTGGAATTGCAGTACACCTGTATGTAGAGTGATGGGAGTTGTAGTCATCTTGTATCTATGTATTTTCTAAGATGTTCCTCCATCCAGTGGGTCTGGACTAAACCTGGCACAATAGGAATTGTAGTACACTCATATGCAGGGTGGTGGGAGTTGTAGTTCCCCCAAAATCAAAGAGCCCTGTGAAACCCCGCCAACAGTGAATCTGGACCAAAAATTGGCATGTAGATGCGTCCTGGCCAACATAGTCGAGAGGGTTTGACTCAGGGTGATGGGTGTTGTAGTCCACCCACATATTATCTAGACCAAAAATTGGCATGCAGATGCATCCTGGCCAACATAGTTGAGGGGAGTTGGATCCAGGACAATGGGAGTTGTAGTCCGCCTACATAACGAGAGTCATGAAATAAGCTGGTGCAAAAGAGAGGACCTAATGTGCCATGACCTATGCCCAATTGGAATTGCAGTACACCCAAATGTAGGGTGATGGGAGTTGTAGTTCACCCACAATCAAAGACCCTTGTGAAATTCCGTCAACAATTGATCTGGACCAAAAATTGACATGCAGATGCATCCTGCCAACATAGTTGAGCGGGTTTGACCCAGGGTGATGGGTGTTGTAGTCCACCTACATAACAAGAGCCATGAAATAAGTTGGTCTGAAAGTGAGGACCTAATGTGCCATGACCTATTTCCAATTGGAATTGCAGTAAACCCACATGTAGGGTGATGGGAGTTGTAGTTCCCCCACAATCAAAGAAACCTGTGGAACCCCTTCAACAATGGATCTGGACCAAAATTGGCATGCAAATGCATCCTGGCCAACATAGTTGAGGGGAGTTGGACCCAGGATGATGGGAGTTGTAGTCCGCCCACATAACGAGAGTCACGAAATAAACTGGTGCAAAAGGGGGAACCATCTTGGCACATGACCAATTGGGCATAGCTCATGTGCCATGACCTATGCCCAATTGGAATTGCAGTACACCCATATGCAGGGTGATGGGATTTGTAGTTCCCACACAATCAAAGAGCCCTGTAAAACTCTGCCAACAATTGATCTGGACCAAATTGGCATGCAGATGTGTCCTGGCCAACCTACTTGAGGGGGTTTGACCCAGGGTGATGGGAGTTGTAGTCCGCCAGCATAACGAGAGTCAGAAAATAAGCTGGTGCAAAAGGGGGGAGCTAATACGCCACGACCTATGCCCAATTACGTCTAATATAATAATAGAACGAGGACGTCTGTTTATGTCAACACACGAGTGGACCGGCGCCAACTTCGATGCCGATCCGTTTCCTCGATCTTGCAAAACGTTGGTCGGGATCCAACAACAAATATGTTTCCCAAGTTGACGATTCAACGGTTGAGAAAGCAAACATCGATAGAAGCCCTTGATGGTGCAAAGGCGGGCCTTTTTGCAGCTCCAGCACAGTCACCGCATAGCCCATCATCCACTGGCTGGGGTGTCTAAGAGAGGATGGGCCCTGTAGTGAGAGACACATGGACAATCGTTTCCTATATTTTTGCAAACTCTTCAATGCTTCCATGTTCAGGCCTTAACCTTATGGTAAATTCCTAGGGTTCTCGGTCCCAATATGTGTTCTTCATGTGCTTTGATGGACATATTTGGGGAAGGTCCTAAGTTTATAGGGAATTTCTAGAGCTCACAATCCAAAAATGTGTCAAAAGCTTTGTATTTGGCAAAAGAAAGGTTAAAGAATTGGAGGGAGAGGAAGCCCCGGGTTCCGATGGTGCCAATGCCCCTTTGCTTTCGTATGGCTCAAACGCTTTGGTTGGTATATTTGGCCAAAGAAAGGTTAAAGAAGTGATGGAAGAGGACACCCCGGGACCTGATGGAGCCAATGCCGTTTGGTTTTCGTATGGCTCAAACGCTTTGGTTGGCATATTTGGCAAAAGAAAGGTTAAAGAATTGGAGGGAGAGGAAGCCCCGGGTTCCGATGGTGCCAATGCCCCTTTGCTTTCGTATGTCTCAAACACTTTGGTTGGCATATTTGGCAAAAGTAAGGTTAAAGAAGTGAAGGGAGAGGAAGTCCTGGTCCCCAAGGGTGCCAATGCCCCTTTGCTTTCGTATGACTCAAACGCTTTGGTTGGCATGTTTGGCAAAAGAAAGATATGGTGCCAATGCCCCTTTGCTTTCGTATGGCTCAAACGCTTTGGTTGGCATATTTGGCAAAAGTAAGGTTAAAGAAGTGAAGGGAGAGGAAGTCCTGGTCCCCAAGGGTGCCAATGCCCCTTTGCTTTCGTATGACTCAAACGCTTTGGTTGGCATGTTTGGCAAAAGAAAGATATGGTGCCAATGCCCCTTTGCTTTCGTATGGCTCAAACGCTTTGGTTGGCATATTTGGCAAAAGAAAGGTTAAAGAAGTGAAGGGAGAGGAAGCCCCGGGACCCGATGGTGCCAATGCCCCTTTGCTTTCGTATGACTCAAACACTTTGGTTGGCATACTTGGCAAAAGAAAGATATGGTGCCAATGCCCCTTTGCTTTCGTATGGCTCAAACGCTTTGGTTGGCATGTTTGGCAAAAGAAAGATATGGTGCCAATGCCCCTTTGCTTTCGTATGGCTCAAATGCTTTGGTTGGCATATTTGGCAAAAGAAAGGTTAAAGAAGTGAAGGGAGAGGAAGCCCCAGGACCCGATGGTGCCAATGCCCCTTTGCTTTCGTATGACTCAAACACTTTGGTTGGCATACTTGGCAAAAGAAAGATATGGTGCCAATGCCCCTTTGCTTTCGTATGGCTCAAACGCTTTGGTTGGCATATTTGGCAAAAGTAAGGTTAAAGAAGTGAAGGGAGAGGAAGTCCTGGTCCCCAAGGGTGCCAATGCCCCTTTGCTTTCGTATGACTCAAACGCTTTGGTTGGCATGTTTGGCAAAAGAAAGATATGGTGCCAATGCCCCTTTGCTTTC